TAAAGCATTCCATACTGTTCATCCATCACCAAGGAGTCTTCATTCAGGTGGGCAAGTTGCTGTCTATGGGGCCACTCTGAGCTCTCGGTCGTTGTTCGGTTTCGCGTGGTTGGAAGCAGTTGAGTTGATTCCTATGCTCAGATTCCATACATTTTGGGGATGGGCTGCTCTAACTGAAAACTCTTCCCTTGACCTTTCCCAGGGATCTCAGGGACTCAGTGGCCTTTCCTTAGATCGGCCGCGTCTGTGCACAGCATCTCCCAAGGCTGTTCCAGGAAACCGTGGAATGTCAAGGACTACCGTTTCTCCCTTAGGAAAGGGGGATTTCTGTGGCCCACCTCCTACCTAAAGCCAGGTGGATTCAACTGAGTGGAGGAGGGGACTTCAGGCTGCCCCATGGTGTTTGGGCATAGCTCTGTGCAGTCACGGAGGAGGGTCATGGTGGGGGAGAAGGAGCCACCCAGGGAAGAGAGGCAGTAGCTGGAATCAAAATAGTATGTACCCGGTGGGTGCAGTTCTGAAGGAAAGGTGTGTACGTGCAGCCAGGATTGGAGGTGTTGGGAAAATCAGGCCAACCTAGCCTTGATTGGAAGGGTAGAATTTTGAGCAATTTTTGTTTCATTACTGTTTTGTACTTTGGATGATTGTGACAAGAGAATATTTTTTTCTACTCATGTTTGTGGATTCTCAGGCTTTGGAGTGGTGGTGGTAAAAGATTCTTGATCAAAATGTCCATGGGACAAGAACCTAGTAATTCAGCTCTTGGTTTTGTCTAGAGCAGAACACAGGTGCACTCAACTAAAAGCTCACTACATTTCTTTAAAAACCTGTTGTCTTCTAAGGTTTTCGATTTCTAATAATGAAGCCCTGGGTGGCTTTTGTTCATAAACTATGATCAGTCTGTGATCTAACAGAGGAAATACATGCAGGGGGAGATATAGGTTTCTCTCCCAAGCCTTCATACTATTATGATTTAAGAAGTTACCACTGTCTGTCAATATTTTTGTATATGTCATGTATTTTCAAAAGAAAGTAGGAAAGTAGGCATGAAAAAATGTATGTAAATTGGGAGTTGACTTGAAACGTTAATTTCCACGCAAGTTCTTAATTTCAACTTTGGACAGAATCAGCTCTCTTCTGTAAACCGAAAGTTGGAAAACTATGACGCTTGGTCAAATCTGTCTCACCGCCTGATCTTGTGAATACGGTTTTATTGAAACACAGCCGTTCCCACTCACTTCTGATGTGTCTACGCTTTCACTCCACAGTGGCGACGTTGAGTGGTTGTGGCGGATGCTACGTGACCTGCGAAATTGATGGCATTTGTTATCTGATCCCTTGGAGAGGATGTCTGCTGGCCCGTGTGCTGCCAAACCATTGCGGTCACTGCTCAACGCCGTGGGGTGACCACTGGGGCGGCTCAGGTCTAATCCCCTCTGAGTCATTAACAAAAATGTCATCAGGGTCGATTGATGCAGGGAGACTGTTTCACACAGGATCCAAACAAGGTCTCTCTTCTTCCTTTTTCTGTGACAGTACTCCTTTTTCCTCATGCCAGTGGTTTCTTAGAGAAACTAGGTCATTTTTCTTGTGGGATGTTTTTACGCCTGGCTTTGACCGATTGCTTCCTCATGCTGTTGTTTCCTTTGTTCCTCTGACCCTTGTTTTTTCTCTAAATTAGTAGTTATGGGCCCGGCGGCGTGGTGGCTCATTCCCAGCACTCTGGGAGGCCAAGGCAGGAGGATCTCTCAAGGTAAGGAGTTAAAACCAGCCAGAGCAAGAGCGAGACTCCCTCTCTACTAAAAAAATAGAAAGAAATTAATTGGCCAACTAAAAATATATGGAAAAAATTAGCTGGGCATGGTGGCGCATGCCTGTAGTCCCAGCTACTCGGGAGCTTGAGGAAGGAGGATTGCTTGAAACCAGGAGTCTGAGGTTGCTGTGAGCTAGGCTGACACCATGGCACTCTCTCTAGCCCGGGCAACAGAGTGAGACTCTGTCTAAAAAAAAAAAAATTAGTAGTTATGTCTATAAACCCAATGAGTGTCAGGTTTGATGTCTTTGGCAGGAATATTCCACAGGTGCTGTTGTGTACTTCCTATTACATCAGCACAGGAGGCCAGCGAGTGTCTGGTGGTCTCAGCTTTGGGGAGGGCAAGACTGATCAATCACTGAGGGTAGCCGGTGTCAGCCTCACCCCTCTAATTTCAAGTTCCCTGCGAAGCTCCTCACCAAATGGTTCTAAAACAATCCGTGAATGATTGCTTTAGATCTGTGAATTCATTCGGGGGTCACAAAATGGTGCTTTTGTCACGCCAGCATCCCTTCTTCATTTATTAGCTGAGAATTTTCTGTAAAGAAGATATTCCCTTCATTTCACTATTGTTTACACTAACATACAGACTGTACTGGAAATGAAAAGAGAAGATGCTTGATCTTTCCTTCTGCTTTCCAACGTCCACAGTGATAAGTGGGTGCCTCAACAGACTCCAACTATAAACAAAACTGTTTTTTGAGTATCGTTATGAACTCATGGATTTCTATGTATTTGGTGTGTTTCGATCCATTGCAGTCATTATTCACTGCAATCATAAAAAAGGTCCCATCTTTGGCCAGTGGAATCCCCTTCAGTTTGGAGCTGGTGTTCTTTCCATGTGACCCTTCAGTCTTCAATGACTTCCCCACTTTCTGGAATAGCAAAACATTCCAGACTCATCTTGCACGTCTTATGTTCTAGACCTGGAGTCTGTCATCTCTCTAAGTAGTTCCTGGTTCTTTTTATTGGGAAAGGGCATTTAGAGGCCATATCCTGAGTTCTAGGGATGCTCATTTTGGCTGCCCTGTCACTGCATTTCTGAGCGCAGAGGCTAAGAAACATACTTTTTGTTGAGAGGGGGGAAAAGGCATGAATTTATAGTGATAGTGGCAATTCAATTTTAAGATTATAAGCTTTTAATGTAATCTCTTAATTTTTTTTTTTGATCTTCTCTTATGCTGAAAATTTTGGTTCTTATGTTTAGTGTTTCTTTTATCACCAACCCCCCCCACATTTTTATTTGAAAAATTTCAGACCTACATGCAAATACAGTATGAAGGATACTTGTACGCCCTGTCCCTAAAGCCACCAATAGTGATTGGTTTATAATGTTTATTTGCTTTAAGCCATTTGAGAGGGAGTTTTAGGTACCATGGCGTTTCAGCTTTAAGTACTTCGGCAAAACTGTTATGCAATTGTCACACTCGGAAAAACAGCACTGATGCAATTCTTCTAGAAATTGCCCTAAGGAGGAATGCCGGTCACGGCACATCCAAATGGCTTTGGTCTTTCCACCGGAAGATGACAATGTCTTGTATCTTCAAAACATATACTCTACACTCTGCAAATAATTTTACATAAGCAGTACATGTATTTCCTTTAAAAATTCTTAAGAAGTATTTATAACAAAAAGCAGCTATTTTCCAATATTTCTCAGTTTCGGCTCTGCTCCTTTTCTGAATGACATGCTTGCCAGTCTAGTTTTGACTTACTGACTTTAACACTATCTATTATCCCACAAAAGATGATAATTGAGTTGAAACCACCTGCTATAGACTGAATATTTATGTCCTTCCCAATATTCCTGTTGAAATCTATACCCACAATACGCTGGTATTTGGAGGTGGGGCTTTTGAGAGGTGATTGGATCGTGAGGCCGTAGCCATTCTTGGGAAGATTCCTGCCTTTATAAAAGACTCACAAAGAGCCTCCTCACGCCACCTGCCACACGAGGAAACAGCAAGACAATGACCACCTGTGAGTCAGGAACGTGGCCCTCACCAGACATAGAACTGGGCTATGGAGCCTCCAGAACCGTGAGAAAGAAATGATTGCTACAACACTACCCAGTCTACAGCCTTTCGTTATAGCAGCCTAAACACACTAAGACACTGCCCAACCCACTTCTCCTCTTACTTCCAAATTATGAGTCCTGTATTGGTTTCATTCATGCCTGTATGCAATACGCTTATACATGCATTTCTTATGCAACAACTTGAGAAACATCCCTGACCTCCCAGCAGTGTATGACAAGACAGCACCCCCGCACCCCTGCCTCTCTCTCTTCTTCCCTGTCCCCCTTCCAACTGCCACCCTCGATGCTTTGGTAGTTCCAGACCCGCAGCCATTGAGTTCTAATCTGTAACCATAACAACATCTCTGTGGTCACGTATGCTTGATTCTCAAGGTGGAAAAGTAGGAAGCAGTTTTTTATTTGCACCACGACTTTGTTGTTGAGATGCTCTGCAGAGCCTTTTCCGTGTCCTTTTTTTGGGATTGTGTCCTCATTTTGTGGAATTTGTGCAGCTCTTTAGTCATACACCACAATACCTGGGGTCCCTGCCTCCCCCAGTGAACTCACTGTGGAATTCTGGTCTGTTGCTCTCACTGGCTCTCCTTGTCCCCTAGGTCTGTGCAGGTGTCCTCGGGGGACTTCACCTGTCACCAGTGTTGGGTTGGAGACTACAACCGGGCCCATGTCTAACAGGTAGGGCAACGTCTGCCGTGGTAACTAACGAGCCATCAAAGCCCAGAGACTGAACCCAGAAGGTGCTCTCTCGCTGACACAGTGGTTTACTAAGGGTGTTTCTGGGTAGTGAGTGACTTTTCTCCACGTCAGCGTTCAGTGCTGGGGCTTTGCCCACGTGCGGTTCTGCCTCATCCTGGACCCTCAGTCGCATGTGCTGCCTCATCAACCTCACGCGCCTCTGCCTGCCTCTCGTGCTGGCTTGGTGGAGAAATGAAGGGGACCCGGCACTGCTCCGGCCCTAACTCTTCCCCTGCGCCAGGCAGGCTCTGCGGTCTGTCCTGTCCATGCCCCGCAGCCCAACCCCCTACCTTCTAGACCTTTCCAAGGGAGACACAAAGTTCAATTTGCTCTGAAGGAAGCACACTTCAGAACAGTGTGCTGCTTTTATTGAAAGAATGGTTCCAGACAGTTCCCTCGGCAGGTCTGCTGGTTCTCCACAACCCGCCCATCTCACTTGGGCTTACAGCAGTAGGCCTTCCCACGGTCACAGGTGCCCATAGTCCTGGTCAAAAGCGGGCACGAGGTATAGAGACAGGCGCCTCCCTTACGGCGGCACTCGTATAGGTCAGGTTTCAGGTCTCGGGGAAGGCTGTCACCTGCAAGGAAGGAACAAAAACACATCAGACTCATGGCCAGCCGAGACAACCATGGAGAACATTGGGTGAAAGTAAGACAAGCAATTGTGCAAAGCCAGGTGAGTGAGGCATTTTCTCTTCCAAGAAATTTGCAGGTGATGGTCTCAGTGGCTGGCAGGACTGAGTTCTCTGAAGCGCTTGCTCAGGGCACGGGCTTCGTCCAAACACAAGCCAAGGCTGCCCAGCAGGCTTCTGAATCGGGTGGTCTTGTGTGTCCACATGTAACACAACCAGACTAGCTTGAGAGACTTTTATAGGAAGGGGAGTGGACCGATCCCTCGTGAGGGCTCGGGGTGGGCAATGGCATGTGGCTGGGACATGAGCACCGTCTTTGAGGAGCAGTGCCCAGCCCGCCCCTGCTCTGAACTCCCAGCTGCGTGGTCAGCACAGCTCCGTGGGTGTGCAAACCAGGTTGCAGCAGCAGCAGCAAAAAGGCCACTGACAACATGCCAACATGACCAACAGAAACGGCGCCTAAAGAGTGAAGCAGAGTGCCTGGGAGCAGGGCCTGCAGCTCGGCCCAGCAGGTGCAAGTTGGGAAAACTACACGTCTCAATGCAGAAGACACTCAGAGCAACACGGAACACCCCAGCAGGAACTTCAGGTCAGTGCGGCCCCTTCCAGGTGGTGCTGGGCCTGCAGGACCCAGGGTGCTCAGAGGTGTTAGTGAGTTCAGTCCTCCCTGCTCACCCTTGGAAACACTGTTTCATTTCCTGTTCTTTGCATGAGATGCTCATAATCATATTTAGATGGTGCAGACTGAAAACAAAAGTCTTTGTGTTAGCAAAGTGGCTTTGAAAAGCTCTGTAGTTTGGATGGAACTATTGTAAGAAAGGAATTTCTTGTTGCCGCTCAGGGAAAACACACGCACACACCTGAGAATGAAACCTGAGTGTAACAAAACAGTGTGCGCCCTCACGGCACGGCGTGCGCCCTCACGGCACGGCGTGCGCCCTCACGGCACGGCGTGCGCCCTCACGGCACGGCGTGCACTGCTGTGTTCTGGTATTTACAAAGCGTGGCTGCCACTCGTTAAATTGATTTCCCTGCCTGCCTAACGGGTCTCAGTCAGCAACATGAAACCAAAAAAGCTCTGCTTTGGGGATGTTATTGTACCCAGTTTTCGGATGGGAAAACTGAGACTTAGCTGGGGTAAATGAGGCCCATGCGTAGGATCAAGTGATCGCCTGGAGAAAGTACAAGAGGACAGTGCCGAGAATTTCGAGCTGTAGTGTTTTAGTCATTTGCCCCAGCCCTTCCTCTTGCAGATGAGGAAACTGAGGCTCAGAAACATGTGAACATGTGACTTGCTCAAGGTCACTGTGTGTGAGGATGGGGTTGGGATAGAATATGTCCCCAGTTCTTCCTGCAGGATTCCACCTTCACAGCAGGGACGTGTCTGCTTTGGCCCAGCCAAGCTGGCATCCTCCAGCCTGCTGGGAAGTCCCTTCCCGCTGCTTGGGAGACCCCTCCCCTGGAGAGCGTGGATGGGTTTCTCAGGGTGGGGGGGCAAAGTACGACGGCCCGAGCACCCTGCCTGCAGCACACCCGGTGAGTCCGAAGCACCTGTGGAGCTGGCCTGGTAGGTGGGGTGTAGGGGAACGGCGCTTTGCCTGCGGCAGGTGTCTGGGAGGCTGCACCCAGTGCCCTGGGGAGGAAGGGGCTGGCACCTGTGTCTGGACAGGTAGCTGGTCTCCCAGCTTGAACAGCCGTCTTGCAGGTGGAGCAGCAGCCCCATCTACATAGGGCACGTTCTCGACGCCCAGACGGACATGGGGGCTGGGAGGTGAGGGAGCTGCCCCTGCCTGGCCCCCGTCCCTGCCAGGCTCATTCCTCTGCTGTTCAAGGGGACAGCGCCTAGACCCTCAGGGCTTGGCCAGCTTGCCTGCCACCTCTGTGGACTGCAGGTCACCCAACCAGTGTAGTTCTCCTGCTGCTTGTCCCTCAGGACGCGGAGGCAGCCATCCTTGGCTCACGTCAGCCGCCATCCCGGTGGCTGGGGCACCCCAGCAGGTCCCGGAGCTTACCTGGGGTCACCTGGGAGAAGAGCAGGCAGAGCGCCACCAGCAGAAGGCAGGGTGTTCGCATGGTGGCAGCAGGTTGGACCCGGGATCTCAGAGAGAAGGTGAGGCTTCCCCAGAGGCTGAGCTGACACAGGCGTCCAGAGCACAGTGTCCCGTATTTATAGGGCTGCAGGACTGCACAGCCTGAGAGACAGAGCTGCCAGGAGGTGTTGCAATCCAGAGTGAACTTCTAATATCTAACCCTCCCGTCATTCAGCCTGAGTATTGTGCTAGTCACATGGCTCCTGGTCCCCATCTGGCTGCAGCTGGGTTTACTTTTCAGCCTGGGGACCTGATTCCACTCCTCCCGCCTGGTCGGTTTACTGTCCGAGGCTGGGCAGTCTAATGGGGTCCCCAGGAAAGGCCCGTCACGTTGGAACTGCTCCCAGGCAGGAGAGGACTTGGGAGGATGGTCTTTGTGCAGGGGCTGTTGGCTCCAAGCAGGTGCCTGTGTCTTTGGTTTGAGTCCCTGAAGAATACCCCTGGGGGCGGAGACCTGGGTTCCGGAGAGGCTGACCCTGCAGAGTGGCAGCTGTTCAACTGGGCTGTTGTGTTGGCTACTCTCTAAGGATCCCTCAGGTAGCCCTTGTTCCTAAAGATTTAAACAAGTATTTTTTTTTTTCTTTCATAGATCTTTTTTTTTCCGGCATATTATGGGGGTACAAATTTTAAGGTTTCAATAAATGCCCATTCTCCCACTCCCCCCACAAGTCTGAGTCTCCAGCATGACCATCCCCCAGATGGTGCACATCTCACTCATTATGTATGTATATACCTGCCCCCCACTCCCTCCCCCCTGCCCAATACCCTATTACTGTAGTACCTATGTGTCCACTTAGGTGCTGCTCAGTTAACACCAGTTGGCTGGTGAGTATATGTGGTGCTTGTTTTCCATTCTTGGGATACTTCACTTAGTAGTATGGGTTCCAGCTCTAACCAGGAAAATATAACCAGGAAAATATAAGATGTGCTATATCATCGTCGTTTCTTAGAGCTGAATAGTACTCCATGGTATACATATACCACATTTTATTAATCCATTCTTGGATTGATGGGCACTTGGGGTGTTTCCACAGCCTTGCAATTATGAATCGTGCTGCTATAAACATTCGAGTGCAGCTGTCTTGTTTATAGAGTGACTTTTGTTCTTTTGGGTAGATGCCCAGCAATGGGATTGCTGGATCAAATAGTAGATCCACTTGTATCGCTTTAAGGTATCTCCATATTGCTTTCCACAGAGGTTGGATTAGTTTGCAGTCCCACAAGCAGTGTAGGAGTGTTCCTCTCTCTCTGCATCCACGCCAGCATTAAACAGGTATTTTATTTGTGAGTGATTTTCTTTGCAATTCTCTGAGCAGCTCTCCTGACGTCTCAGGCAGGGGCTGACTTGTAAGCAGCCGGGTCTGGCACTGGACGACCAGGCAAGAGAGGAGCTGCTTGAGAGGATAAGCCGGCAGCTCATGGAACCACCTGGGTGCTGGAGAACCCAGCTGGGGGCTCGGCGTCCAGGAACAATGTCCAACCCAGGCCACCGAGCTGGTGTGGGGATAGTTTTAGGGTCAAATCGAGATGACACGGTAGATTGATTCTGTGTGGCATCTGGACTCTGGGCAAGAGCATTGTTCAAGGAACCTAGGCTAGAAGAACTTTGGACAGAGGCTGTCCTGGGCATGTGGGCAGGAGGAGGGTGAGCGCCGGCAAATGCCTTTGCATACCACAGGCTGGCGGACGTGGGCTCGTGCTGATGGCTGAGTCAGGAACGTGGCCCTCACCAGACATAGAACTGGGCTATGGAGCCTCCAGAACCGTGAGAAAGAAATGATTGCTACAAAACTACCCAGTCTACGGCCTTTCGTTACAGCAGCCTAAACGCACTAAGACACTACCCAACCCACTTCCCCTTTACTTCCAAATTGTGAGTCCTGTATTGGTTTCATTCATGCCTGTATGCAATACGCTTATACATGCATTTCTTATGCAACAACTTGAGAAACATCCCTGACCTCCCAGCAGCGTATGACAAGACAGCACCCCCGCACTCCTGGCTTCCTCTCTTCTTCCCTGTCCCCCTTCCAACCCCTGCCATGATGCTTTGGTAGTTCCAGACCCACAATCATCGCATTCTAATTTGTAACCATAGCAACATCTCTGCGTGTCACCTGCGGTCAAATCTGGAGTGGAAAAGTAAGAAATAGTTTTCTATTTGCACCACAACTCCGTTGTTGAGATGCTCTGCAGAGCCTTTTCCGTGTCCTTTTTTTGGGATTGTGTCCTCATTTTGTGGAATTTGTGTAGCTCTTTAGTCATACACACAATACCTGGGGTCCCTGCCTCCCCCAGTGAACTCACTGTGGAATTCTGGTCTGTTGCTCTCGCTGGCTCTCCTTGTCCCCTAGGTCTGTGCAGGTGTCCTCGGGGACTTCACCTGTCACCAGTGTTGGTTGGAGACTACAACCGGGCCCTGTCTAACAGGCAGGCAACGTCTGCCGTGGTAACTAACGAGCCATCAAAGCCCAGAGACTGAACCCAGAAGGTGCTCTCTCGCTGACACAGTGGTTTACTAAGGGTGTTTCTGGGTAGTGAGTGACTTTTCTCCACGTCAGCGTTCAGTGCTGGGGCTTTGCCCACGTGCGGTTCTGTCTCATCCTGGACCCTCAGTCGCATGTGCTGCCTCATCAACCTCACGCGCCTCTGCCTGCCTCTCGTGCTGGCTTGGTGGAGAAATGAAGGGGACCCGGCACTGCTCCGGCCCTAACTCTTCCCCTGCGCCAGGCAGGCTCTGCGGTCTGTCCTGTCCATGCCCCGCAGCCCAACCCCCTACCTTCTAGACCTTTCCAAGGGAGACACAAAGTTCAATTTGCTCTGAAGGAAGCACACTTCAGAACAGTGTGCTGCTTTTATTGAAAGAATGGTTCCAGACAGTTGCCCTGGCAGCTTTCTGGGTTCTCCAGGTCCCGCCCATCTCACACACAGCAGTAGGCCTTTGCAAAGAAACAGGTGCCGGCATGTTCGGTGGGAAACTTGCAAGGATCATAGACACATATGCCTGCCCTCTGTACACACCTGAAAGTGTCAATTTCTGGGCCGACGAGAAGGTTGTCACCTGCAAAGAGGGAACAAAAACACGTCAGACTCATGGCTAGCTGCGAAAACCATGGAGAACATTGGGTGAAAGTAGGACAAGCAATTGTGCAAAGCCAGCAACTTTCTTCAAAGAAATTTGCAGGCAATGGTCTCGGGCTGGGAAGTGACTGAGTTTTCTGAAGCGCTCGCTCAGTGCACGCGCTGCGTCCAAACGCAAGCCAAGGCTGCCCAGCAGGCTTCCGAGTCGGGTGGTCTCCTGCCCGGAGACCTTGCTTGGTTCACGGCATTAAAATTATTCCCTAGATAAGTTTTCTATCCCATCCACCACGCTCCAAACTGCACATCCTGTGTTTTCGCAGTGCAGAAGCTGGGCCACTCTGCGAGCCCGTCCTGCACTGTCCTTGCGCCCTGGGGTGAGTGGCACTCTTCCCTGTGCCTGGATCCCCGTGTTGCCACCTTGCTCAGCGCCGTGTCTGCTGAGAGCTGTGGTTGTGTATTGTCGGGCTGCGATGGCGGGTCCTCACTGACGCTGTCACAGCTTTCTTTACTGAGAGTTCATGTTTCTCTCCTCCCAGTGTCACCGAATCTCATAAGTAGGAGGTGGCCTCCACTAACTAGTCTTCTAATATACCCCGCAGAGAATGAACGTGCTCTCAGATATCCCTGCTTGTGACTGTCAAGCTATTGCTTTGGGATCCCCGATCAATAGGGGTTTTGGGCTAAATTTTGCCCCCTCGAAATTGCTGTGTTGGAGGCCTCACCCCCAGCGCCTCAGAATGTCACTGTCTTCGGGCATGGAGACTTTAAAGAGGTGGCTGAGGTGACACGAGGCAGTAGGGTGGGCTCTGATCGAGAATGAGTGACGTCCTTCCGAGAAGGGATGAGGACACAGACTCACACAGAGGGGAGACCAAGAGAGGCCAGGGGAGAGGCTGGTCGTCCACAAGCCGGGCAGAGAGGCCTGGGGACAAGCCCACCCCGCCACACCTTGACCTGAGACTTCCAGCCTTCAGAACGTGAGAAAAAGGCTGCTTGTTGTTTGTCTCCCCCTGTCTGTGGGACTTGGCTATGGCAGCCCGAGCAGGTGAGGTAACAAGCCCTCCGCACCCTGGGAGCCCACACTTTTCCCATGTCGTGGATGGACCTCCGTGTCCTGGGAGGGTGGTTTTCACCCTGAGGGAGATTGCTCTCTCAGTAGCTTCTACCCAGTGCTGGCTTTCTGCTTTTTACAGTGAACTCCCATCACTCTTTCAGAAGGCAATTGGGTTGTGAGTGATTCCACTTTTGAAAACCGCTTCTATGTCTCCTTTTTCTCCAAGGCTCCCTCCACCCTGTTCCTTCTTCTCTGGATGTGGCCAGGTTTGTGAATAGACTGCCTAACGTGTGAGGCCTGGAATGAGCACCAGGGACCTTCCCGTGTCCACCAACCAAGGGCGAAAGAGGCTTCAGTTCTCCGGCTGTGTTCACAGTAGAGCTGTGCTGCCCAGCACGGTAGCCACCGGCCACGTGGGTCATTTGCATTCAGTTAACTGAAATGACACTTGCCACCCTGCCAGTGCTCAGTGGTCATGTGTGCCTAGTGGTCGCTGCATTCACTGGGCAGCGCAGGTGTAGACTGTTTCCATCACTGCAGAGCGGTCCACTGGACTGGGTTGCCATGGAGACGGAAGGGCGTTGGGAGTCATCTGCTCCTCCCGTCCTTTACTCAGGGAAGCTTGTTGGGCCAAGGCCACTCGCTATTCACGTGAAACACAGTATCTTGCTCTCCAGCTGGTGTCCTTTCTGCAGGTCACATTGATCTGATTGATGGTGGGCGAGACAGAACGAGGCTTTAATAACCTGACCACAGCGTTGACCTTGGGTAACCTCAGCAATTCTACTTGGCAATAAATAAGACACAGGGTCTATCCTGCACACACTGTTCCTCAGAATAAGCAAAGGGAGAATACTCATGTTTTGACACCAATGTGCCCTTAATACCAGTCCCTGGCAAGAACAGTAATGGAAGAAAAGGAAAAGATTGTT